CTTACACGAAATAGGGTGAATACATCTCATTACACTGAGTTACTGGTAGTCTCGAAACCCTACTCCAATAAGAACAAAAACAATTTCGAAATGGGGATGTACCAAGTCAACGATCCGATACTGGAAATTGTCATGACTACTATGGTAGAGGTCTCATCTTCGCCTCCCTGATGGTGCAGTAGAGTTGCGAAGACAGGGTCAAATCACTTTTCTACGACGAAAGGAGACCACAACCATGGTAACAGTGTAATCATGTTGGTTTTGATTGCTTCAAGAGCAGTTTGTTGGGCGGGGCTCCTGCTCTCTCTAAAGACATTGAGACACGTATGCAAAGCCCAGTTTCCTATTATTATCTTTAGCCCTTTCTTCGGCTTTACTTATGATTCTGAGCTGTCTGTCATTGTCTCCTCTTGTCTATGCTATGACGGACGGTCTGACTCCTCTCCTCTTAGACAGCGTCGTCTGCCAGTCCTGATGAGCTCCCGACAGACATGGATTCGTCAGTCAGTCCATCCGCTTACAGTATAATGCCTTGAGTCTATATTTCTGCCTGCCTCGTGTCCTAGCTTTTTATCGCTATAGCTTCACTTCATGTTATTTTATCGATTTTCGCTTGTACATTTCACTAGAGTTTTACTTGTCCACACTTTTAGCATGTCATGCCTGGTTGCCTGCCTACCTGCTGGACTGCCTGCATGTCTGCTCTGTACGTTCATCTATTTGACGGTCCTCTTGCTTATCTTGTTTCCTTTTTAGCCATAGGATTGTCTTTTTTGTTTGTCCCACCATTTGTCTGCCCAGTTATCTCTTCATCTTTGCTTGTACACACATTTGTTTCTACTTCTTGCCCAAAGGAAAGGAGTAGAGTGGAGTTTTTGTTGAGAAGTGAGTCGAAGCCGTCACCCGGTACTGTGGTGCACGCAGGCAGCTGCAGAGGGGCCGGCTGAGTGTAGAAACGTGACTGATGCTGACCTGCCGTCAAGGGGCACGGTGTCCTCCCCTGGGGACTATAGTCAAAGTTGAACGAGTTGATGGGATGTGGGCAGCGGCATTCAGGAAATCACGAATGGTCTGTTGTTGAGGCTCATTTGAATGCGAACTCCGGTTCCCATGGCTAATTGTCTCATTGCCATTACATTTATTGACACAACCAACCAGCACCCAACATGACGGAGTTAGTGCCAATGTCAGGCAGCTCATTGCCACCCTTTAAAGGGGTCTAGATACGGCATGACTGGAGGTTACATGCTGCGATGCGGAGGTAAATAAAATTGCGGGACTATGCAATGCTGGCTCGGATGAATGTGAGTTTGGGGTAAACAGCAACTTCCTCATCCCTCCTCTAAGGCTTATTGCTGACCCGTTGCGACATGACTTTCCATTTTGAAGGAAAAGTTGGTTGGTAGGAATTAGTGAAATGGTCTGACCGAAAATCGAAGGAGGAATGCCGCGGAGTGAAGACTTTTTGATTGTGCGAAGAAGTTCTCGGCTCACTGTCCTGCGACTCAGGTGAAACTGTGAAAGGCATTCATCTGTCCTGTGACAGACGTCATCAGAACAAGATTCCATACTTTACGAAATAGAGCAATAATATACTAAACCAATATATATATATATATATATACATACATAAAGTAAGTTAAACTAGGAGCTAATAAATAAAAAATGGTCTGGAATTATACTA